AAGGCAAAGTTTTAACCTAGAAAAGCTGACACGGTAGAAATGTACTATTCTCTTTGGATTATTTTAGAGGAAGGATGCAGAGAGCAAAGATTGAAAGCAAGAACAGCAGAATGGGGGGTAGTGCATGCCTGTGATCCCAGCACTCGGGAGGTGGGGCAGGAGGCAGCCAGTAAGAACAGCCTGACCTACAGAATCAGACACTGTATCAAAACAAACAGACAAACAAATGGAAAGCCCTTATACCTACAAGCTAGAGGCAGCAAAGACAGCAGGAAACTCACCCATTAGAGAGAACTTGGTGTCCAAGAGCAAGAAACTGAAAGTCTAGTAGAACCAAACACAGGGCCTGTGTAAAGTAGGTGAGCAATAGTGTTGCTGAATATTGAGAAACAGAGGGGAGACAAATGAGCAGATATGCAAACTAAACCTCATTTAGCACTTCAACTACCCAGAAATCAGATAACTAGAAACCTGAGCTTACCTAAGCCTAGTTTCAGCATCCCAACAAGACAAGAACCAGGCTGTCTCACGTACTCATTCATTCTGTGTTGGAACCAGGCTTCACATACGTTAGAGTACTCTACCACTGAGCTTTCCACACACACACAGGCTCTCACCACATAGTTCCAAGGTTGGCTTTGGTCTCATGGTCCTCCTGTCTCCACCTCCTGAGTGCTGACATTACAAGTGTGCACCATATGCCCAACAGCCCTCATTCTTAAACCCTTTGTTTGATCCCCTCAGGGAAGTCCAGGGAACCAGACGCAGGTTCTGTATGACCCCATGGATGGGCATACATGCATGACCATAGACCTGGTTCTGTAGGAGAGCCACAGGCTGGTTTCAACACATTTAAGAGAAGACAGAGATCAGCCCTCTGGAAGGCTGTCACAATTCCTTGCCTTAGGACCAGGGAGACGCCTCAGTAGGTAAAAGTGCTTTCCATGCAAGCCAGAGTTTCATCCTCAGAACTCACAGTGAAAAAAGAGAAGCAACCCTGGCTGTCCTGGAACTCACAGAGATCCACCTGCCTCTGCCTCTCGAGGCTGGGACTGAAGGTGTGTACCACTACACACAGCCCTGAATTGTAGTTTTTAATAAATCCCTTACGTTTTTAATAAGGAGAAATTTTACTTCAAAATGATCATCTAGGATTTAGTAAGATGGCTCAGCAGGTAACAAATAGCATTTGCCACACAAGAGTGACAACCTGAGTTTAATCCCCAGAGACCACGGGAAGGTGGGAGGGAAGAGCTGGCTCCACAGAGTTGTCCTTTGACCTCACCACGGCACGCACAGCTCCTTCCTCACTGAGGAAAGGCTGTAGAAGCAGTGGTCCTGGGAAGAGACACCATGTGCGCGGGGGGGGGGGGGGGGGGGGACGGACGACGGACGGA